TTTGTTTAATATATAACAGTGACAATATAATCAATTCAAGTATTTTTGATAGTTTACTATCAAGAGGTACCTTAGTATCTTCCCTCCCCCAAAAAACCCTACCAGAATTTTTTTTATGAAGTCTTATCTGAAATTAAATCAATTTCATTTCTTTATCAAAAAATTAAAAATATCTTTAATGTTATTGGTATTTAAATTTAGGGAGTAAAAAGGGAGAATATCTGAAACTGGAATTTCAGTGGATATAATTTTTAAAATGCTAAAATTTTTTAGAATTCAGGCTGAAATTAATTTACCAAAAGGTTTTTATTCCAGATTTATTGCATGTCCATCAAGAACAATCGACGCTATAGATTTGTTGTTGGCAATTTAAGAAATTTGAGGACAATTCAGAAATAAGTCATATGATTTGGTCTCACCCATTGTTGACTCCTTTTTGGAGTAATAGTCTAATATACTTAAGTGGATTTATGAATAAAGTTTTAAAGAAATATAATAATATTTTGAATTATATTCCAAAATCATGGAATTGATAGTTTTTGAGGAATTTTTATTACATCAGGCATTGGAAAAGAGATTAATATTGAGAACTTGGAAAAATACTATTCCCTTCAACTTGCAATCATTCCAAGTTATGACTGACCTGAAAAAGGGAATTTATAATCCGGATTCAAAGTTTTGACTTCCAGTTTTTGACAAAACTATACAATCACAGATTTGTTTAATGGCCATGGTGATTTCTTTAATGGCCAACACAAAAAAGGTTGTAAAATTGGATCTGTCACATGACCAAATTGTTCTATGTTACAGCAGGCTTCATTACAGTTATATGTTGAGGACCACCTTTACAGGAAAACGTATACAATTTCACATAAGTGGCTGTCCGGTCTCTATTTCAAAGCACCTACAACTTCTGAAGACAAGTCATTCGACTGGTTAATTGTTGTCAATGTTAGGAATTTTTTCTTTAGTTTCTCTCCTTGATTAGTTTCCATCCATTGTACAGGAGGAGATGTTGTGTTGGTACATATTGGGGGATAAGGGAGAAAAATGTAAAATCTTCCAGGATCTTTTCAGATTTTGTTTTTTCCAAGTCCTGGAAAAATCAGTTTCGTTTCTGCCCATTCATAACACCGTGAAATTACTCAGCAGAATTTCATTACACCAAAACCTAATTTGAATATGTTTTTTCTGTTTTTTTATCCAATGTTTTAATCATTATATTGCACTCTTTGTTTTTGGGAAAAGTAAAATATATTGCATAAGTTTAAGAAACATATAATATTTTATGATATTTTAATTAATTGAGAGTAAAAACTCCTATAAAACTTCTCTTCAGACATTATAAAAATGGAAGGAGTAACAAGATTATTTGTGCTAGTTTTCCATATTTATCAAAATAAGTTCTGAATGAATACATCTTTAAATCATACATATAATGAACAAATATTTGATGCAATTTTACAGTATAATATGAAGCATGTACTATTGTGCTACAGGGAAAAGTTGCAAATTTACTACTGTATGCTGTGAGAAAATAGATCCTATTTATATCACTATGCACACAGAAAGAGACATACATTTTTATAGATGCAAATTTAAATTGGGCATGATTTTATAGCCTCAGGATAGAAGTATTTTAGCACTATACTCAGGTCATCCTAAAGGGACCAAGAATGTAAGGGGTTAGGTGAACATTAACAGCAGGTGAAGTATGTGTAACAAAAATTCAGTCTCAAAGCTAAAATTGTTCCTGCTGTCAGTAGCAAACATGAACACTGAATAGAGGTCATGCTATTTTTTTCTAGATTTCTGGAGGAGAGTTATATTTTTATTTTAACAGTTATGGTGCTGTCACTTCTGTTCAGCAAAAAAGCTTAAATTGCTGAGGACATGGACATTTTCCTGTCATGGCTTGAAGCTTGAGATATTTTTGTACTTCAGTTGCTGTGGATTTTTCTTGCAATTTCTCAACCAAAATCTTGAAATTCCAGCATTTGAATAATATTTGGTTGACCTATTCTTGTTTATCTCCTATAACTGAATCATGTTTCCCACTATAAAATGCTGGTCTCTAAAGCAGGATGTATGTAGTGCCAGTCCTGATCATTGCTATCTTATAACCGGTGATAGATTCTAAATTACATTTATTATCTCTTGGACTGCTGTACAATGAATAAACATTGGGACATAGGGAGTTGAATCAAACTATGTTTGCATTCTGAACAGATCGCTAAAATTGATGTAATAAGTTAATACTAAGCAGCAAGATCTCTTTCTGTCAACTGATTATTTTTCAGGCAGAAGGGATAAAGAAAATATAGTATGAAACACTGACTTTGGCCAAAATAGATTGTATCAGTTATAGAGGTCCAAAACAATAAAATTGTTCAGATACACATTCCAATGTTAGCACAGATGCAAACCTTCCATATATGGTGTAAAAATAATTTCAGGGTAAGGATATTTATGTTCCTTGAAGGTAGGCTTGCCTTATGGCATTTTCATTATCCATTCTATTGTTTTTCTTCTTTGTGGATCAATATTACAGACAGTGTAATGTCTAGAATTGAAGACAGAACTCAGAACTGAAGAAGCTTCTTGGATGAGAAGCGAAACATCTTTAAAGAAAAAGAAAGTAAGTCCAGTTGCCTCTTAAAAAAGCACCTTTGGGACAAAGGAATGTAAGTATTTACATCTGACTGACTGAATGAATGAAAAAAAATGTAAAAAAATATATGCAGTACACTCATCAAAGTCCTGTTTATTTGAAGATTCCCAAGAAGTATAGTTTATAGTAATAGTAAACACTTTATTTTATTTGTAATTCATTTATAATATGGAACATCTCAGAATATGCATTATAATTAATAATTCATTTAAAAGTTTGGATATATTAGAATGTGTTTTGTGCAGATGCACTTAAATATATCCTCGTGTGTTGTTATACAGCTGGTGATTTTAGTTATTATGTTAATGTGTTTAACGCTGTGCCCTTCAGAAGCTTCCAAGGATATTTTACACAGTAAATAGCCTTGTGACGTGAATACAATGTGCAAGTAAAAGCATTCCATCAGTGATCTCTTAGATCATGTTGATTCTAGGCTTTTATCACCTCTCTTGAGACTCGGAAAATAGCACGGTTATAGATTATTCACAGAGCCCAAACTACATTATCCAATGTACCAAAGATAACTGTGATTCAGAACTGGCTCTAAATCAATCATGTGGAGATGACAGAAATGGTATTTTCATTAATAACTTGATGTACCTGAAAGATGGGAGGAACTTTTTTAAGAATTCTTTATATACTTGACTTTAGCTGTATCTCTGACATGATAAGACTTTTCCTGTTGCCATTCAATTTTTCAATAAACTCAGATAAGCCTCAAGCCTTGATCACAAAGGGTTTTTTTGAAATAGTAATTTTAGATTTTGTTTTCACATGTCTGATGATTTGCCAGAAAGTAAAACAAGTATTAAATATGAAGCTAATGCCTTAAAAAATAGAACTCTTAGCCAAATTTGATTGATGCTGATGCTCATTTTCTACATAACTGCTCTTTAATGTGAAAGATTATTTCTAACCTGATAGAAGTATTTCAAGTGTCTGAAATACCAAGACTAGGTTCACAGATCAGTTAAAGATTAGGGTGTGTTTAGTAATGGGAGAAATGATGTATCTTTACAAAAATCTTAAAAATAAAACACTGGTTTGGATCTAGACTTTCATCTAGATCTAGATCAGACTTCATGCTAGTTTAAGATACTGGGGCTTCAATTTTCTCCAGTTTTTCCTTTGCCAAGTCCTCTGAACTCAGAATAGTTTGAATCCAACTGATACTCCGCATTATTGTTAAAATTGTATAAATTTTTACACTTCTTGAATAGAAGATGCTTTCTTAAATATCTGGGAAACTTATATTGTAATCCAGGAATCATCTATGTGGTCCCTATTTTGTTGTTCATAACCCTTAGAGTATATATGTACTTAATAAATATTTTACCGCCAATGATATTATTTGATTGTAATTTTACTAATGCTGGTAAAATGGACACAATGTTTATTGTTATAATTGCACTATACAATTGTACATCTAATCAAAATAAAGCCAATGTTAATGAATTTGACAGGATTTGACAGGATTTTGCCATGTAGGATTTTGATGAGAGCATAGACAATGTGGTAGGCATTTCAATTAAGAGCAAAATATGTATTTCTATGTTATTAATCTACTTCATGTCACCTTCCTCCATTCACAGTTGAGGATATGCTATTATAATAATTTAGATTCCATATATTGTAACTACTTTTTAAGTCCTGGGTCATGTTTGGCCTTTAAAAGGCCTGCTAGAGGGTAGTGTCACTGGTTCATGTAAGTCTAAGCTTCTCCAGGGAAAAACCTATCCATGTGACTGCATTTTGGTGCTCAGCAACTAGCCAACATTTATGGCCATTTGCAGTGCCCCATGGTCACATGTTTATGATTTACAATTTTGCTGAAACACCCCTTAGCAAAGAATGGATTCACATAACTATCATGTTGTTTGCTTAGTAACTGCAGATTTGCTTAACAAGTGTGGTGATTAATTTCACAACCACTGGGAAAAAAAGTCATAAAATTGGGTTGGTCACATGGGTAATCCACTTTATGATTGTCACGACTTAAAAATCATAATGGGCATAATGGGCATAAGTTGAGGACTGCCTATATTGGGGTCATCTATTAGTGTAAATGCAGGTTCAGATGTTTTTTTTATCAGTACTGTATATGTGACCAAGCAAGTTTGGGGCTTTTGCTCTTGGCTAGCTTTAAAAATAACAAAATGATTTTTGAATCTTCTTTACTTGTTGACATTTCTTTGGGTAAATTTTCTGCTACAATATGAAATAAAATTATAGTAGAGTTTTTTTCTCTAATATTTTATTTCACTTATGTACCATAGTTAATTGACATTCTAAATGTATAACTTAAAGATAAAAGGAGTAACTGACTCACCAATCTTTTAATGATTCTCAATAAAAGCTTTTGATCTTTTACTTCCTTTTTGCACTGCAGTACTTCAGCCAAACTATCCATGTCTTCAGGTGACATGCTGTCCATAGCATCCCCACCATAGAGTTGAACTAGCAATGACAAGCACTGTGATGCATTCTCATAGATGTCATTTTCCTGACTAGGAAGCTTTAAAAAAACAGAAAGGGTTTTTTTTAATACCAGAACACAAAGTTTTTCTATTTTTAATGAGATAGTAATATCAACTTTCTAAATAAAAGTGGTAAGTTTCATTTAGGATCTCTTTCAATTTTGAGGTTTCTGTGACCCATTAACATGGCTGAGAAAAAAAAAGAGGATTGTAAAAGCACAATACAATTCTGTTATTGTACAAGCACAATAACAGAAAATAGCTTTTAAAGCAACTATTGCATTGGATGCGGTTTTTCTTTTACAAATTTCAGATAACTTCATCAAGGAAAAGAGCAAACAATATCTTATGTTTATAAAAAAGATATTGGTAGGAAACATCTTCTACTTAAGAAACAAAATAATAGATCAATAACTATAGAGAGTTTTTACCATTAAATAGAGATTTTATCTCATATAATTTCATTTAAAGAGAGAAGATTATTGTCAGAAATTTATAAGAGTGACAAGATATCTGCTGTTCCAATTATGAGTTTCTAATTGCTTCAACAAACTGACAAAATATTAGTTATATTGCTATTATACAGGTACATAAGTTTTATTTTTGTAAAATATTACTAAGGGTATGGGGGAGAATTCAGTAGCACGTATCTTATGACTTTTCTTTATACTATAAAGCCAAGCAAAATTTAAAATACATAGGAGTATAAATACAAATACTCAATACAATAGCAGTTTTTAAATTTTCTTTCCCTGCTAATGTGAATTCCTTATTACCGTTTAAAAACATAGCCAACATAATATTCTAGGATATATAGGTGATGGGTAGAAATTTTTTCCTTTCCCCAATACCTAAAGATGTCTGATAAATGCTATCAAGATTTCTTTCAGTCTGATATTTGCTAGCAATACAGTAAGGTAATGAGAACTCTTGCTCACTGATGGAGTTCACATTTTGTTTAAAAGATACAAATGTTTTTTTAAAAGACAGTGGGAAATTAGTAAAGAAAGAAAAGAAATGTTAAGGATGTTAACATATTTGCTTTCAAATAAAGTAGAAAAATATTTAAATATTTCTAAAATTTACAAAGTAATAAACCCTATCAGCTATTATGTCTATTAGATACATATGCTTCTGGTTTATACTTTAAAAAATCATTAGTTTCTCTTCTTGAGTACCATCCTTGTTTTAGCATTGATTTACTAAACAGTACACATTCCTGTTATTCTTACATCTTGTATTAATTTATATTATTTTTTTTCCAGCCAAACAACTTTTCAGTTAATTATGTTGACAGGGAATCTATGAAGTCCTAAATAATGTGATAAAATACTTTTGATGTAACAGTTTATCTACAGTATATGGGAAAGTGCATTGTCCTTTCGCTACTTAATCTCTCCATGGTTTTCAATACCATTAACCATGCTATCCTTCTAGGAAGGTCCCAGGAATTGGGAAGATGGACCACCTTGTTGCCTTAGTTCACTTCCTTCCTCAGATGCCATTTTCAGACAGTATTGATTGGGAGTGAGAGATCAGAATCTAGACTTTTGCTTTGTCATGTCAAGGTGAGATAAGCCATGCCAATATCACCCTTTCCCATTGCCTTGGTACTGTTGAGATCTGGATGGGAAGCAACAGAATAAAACTTAATGCTGGGTCGGAGCTCCCTGATTCTTGGAAAATTATCATTTTTGGTTGTGAATGAGGTTGTACTGCCCCAGGCAGATCTAATGTGTGTTCTGGGGGTTCTCCTGGATTCATGACTCCAGTTTAAGGTGCAGGAAGCAGTTGTGGCCAGCAGGATTGTGCCCCCGTTATACTCTTTTCTGGCTTTTCTATGATGGCTCCCTCCCTTTTAAAATATCATTCCCCTAGAAATAGGATTGGGCCCCCACACTGATATGTTTCCAAAAGGCCCTGAAGACATGGTTGTGTCAATGGGCATGGAAATTCTACACTGACATGGAGCTGAACAAGTAGCTGGTATGACAATCCATTGGGAGGTGGGGTGGAGTTTACGGGTTTTTATATTGTGGAATTTTAATGTTGTAAGCCACCCAAGTCATTGTGTGGAATTGGGCAGCCCTATAAATGTATTTAATAAACAAAAAATCATTTAAAGAATAAGAGGCTACCTATGTGGCAGAAAGGATGTAAAGCAAAATGCAAAATAATCTGATTAAACTTCAGAGAGCACTTTTGAAGAATGTGCAGTCGCCATTGCTTAGTTCAGTTAAAAATACCCTTGTAAAAAATCTAAAAGTACTTCTTGTTTTAAATAAATTATTTAATTACAGTATTCTTTTAACTAAATGATTCAATAACAGTATTATTTAATTTTTCAGTTGATGTTAATTTGTTTTTAGAAATTATTTAAGAATAGGCCATCTATTTTATCAGGAGTTGAGTGATTCTTCTTTATTTGATAATCTACATTTGTGGGTCCCAAGCTCGTCCTCAGAACCTTCTAAAACTCAATTTTACATGAAGAGCTTTCTACAGTTGTGGAGATGTTATAATTCTATATATTTTACTTTATTACATTTTATTCTTGCTCTTGTAATCTTAAGCAGAAAAGTCTCTTCTCATTTGATTTTATGTTACTCATGACTGGATTTGGTTTTAGAAAAGGATAAGACTATCTCCATATTTTTTCCCTTCTTGCTCAGCTGGAAGGGAAAATATCCCTCTCTGCTTTTTCTATTAGTATTCCAGTACATTCTCAACTTTACTGGATTTTTCTACACCACTGAAGAGATTAAATCTCTCAGATCAGTATGGCTGGCTGGGGAATTCTGAAAATTGAAGTCCGTGCATCTTAAAATTGCTGAGGTTGAGAAAGATTGTCTCAGATGGAGCTCAGATAAGATCAACCTGTACCTGACTGAAAGATTGAAAGATATCTAGTTTGGACTTCCGGTTTTGCGTGGTAGCGTCCGGTTGCGGGCTTGCGGATTCTCCACACCTCCATGGCTAATTTCGCCCTGCCAGGGGACCCTAAATGGGTCTAAGTCGCCCTGGAGAGGCGACAAAGAAAGAAGAGTGCCCCAGCGACACTGGAATGATGGCGGTTGTTCTGTTTGACTTGGGGAAAGCCTTCTAACCCGACAGGAGAAAGGCTGGCCATACTTCAGCAACCAGCCCAAGCTACTTGCAACCGAAGTCCAAAAGCACTAATCAGCACAACTGTGAATAGCGTGTTTGAAACTCCCAGAAGCACGAAGCTGAAGACACCAGCCTGAAGGTGACGAATGTGACTTCGACGAAACGTCGCCAAGACACTTCCAATTCTACGCGGGAGAGAACCCGAATGACCAAAGACCTATATATATATATATATATATATATATATAAAAATTCGACTCTTGGGAGTATTCATAACTCAATGTTTGCAAAAGAGGACATTTTGGGGAAAAGAGGAAATCAACTAAAACCATTATGTGGATTATGGATTATAGAAATCAATTGTTAGTGATTGTTTAAGAAATGTAAACCCAGACAACACACTGTTCACCAATTATTAAGCGATTTATGTTTAAAAAAATCAATAACATATATTACAAAAGGACGAAAGAAAGAAAGAAAGAAAGAAAGAAAGAAAGAAAGAAAGAAAGAAAGAAAGAAAGAAAGAAAGAAAGAAAGACTTCTAGTTTACACACTTCAAAATTTTTCTCACTTTGGTATTCTGAAACAATATGTATAGCTCTGATTCTTATTTCTGTTAATAGCTCAACATTTTGACCACTAAAGAATCCTTCTGTCATAATTTCTATGGTTTCTTCTCCTTTGCTTGAATTATCCCATTCATTTAAAGTTTATGTATAAAACAAAATATACGGGGGAATGTTGTAGAGAAAACAGATGTATTAAGCATGCTTGCCCTCTTGAGTTGACTAAATGTAAAAGGAGGGATAAAATAATAATATAATAATTCAATTGCAAAAGGCAGCTTTACTTGGAGCAGCTGTCTTGTGCTCCAAGTAAATGACAATACCTTTAACACCCACCAAACATCAACATCTCTCTATCCCAGATCTTTGAGAAGGACTCAATAAATGGATAACATTGCCAAATCCAGTCTAAACATCTGGCTGACTGTACAATAAACCAGTAATAATAATAATTTGACCACCATGTTAGCTGCTTCAAGAAGATCACACAGACTGATAATAAGCAACAGCATGACAAATTAGCAACAATGGTATATTGGAATATTTGCAAGAAATGACATTTGCCTGCAAACATGAACTGGTGTGACCAGAAAATAGATAAAGTAATAGAAAATGAAGAAGCTAAACTGCTCTGGAAATTTAGAATTCAAACGGCAGGCATCTGCCACATAACACCCCAGAATTAACAACTGTTCACTAACTTTGGGGATAGCTAAATTATATAGTCAAATAAAACATCTTTCTAACAGATATACAAAAAAGATATCTCTTACCAACTGAATAAGCAAACCAAACAAGTCAGTCAGAGATTTATTGATAAGGAGAAGATCTTCAGCAGTTTCAGTGTCCCCTCCAGTGCCAGATTTCTGTGCCTAAAGGAATTTAGGCAGAAAATACTGAAATTATAACCTATAATTTCATGATTAAAATAACCTAACCTCGCAGAACTTCTAAACTGGAAGCATAGTTAGAAAGCAGATCTCATTTTACATTTATCCACATCAAACTAGCATTTTTACATGCTATAGTACTTAATGATTAAGATGAAAATTAAACTTATGAAATGAATTTCACAGAGAAAAAAATGTTAAATAATTAAATGTATTTTTCAAAACTCTTTGCAATTGTATTAATTTTTCAACCAATACCATTTTCCATTTTTACATAAAAAGGTTCGTATGACAATCAAGTATAGTTATTAGGGATGCATATGATTTAAGCCATAAAAATACAAATTATATTTTAATGCAAATTATTATTTTTTCATTAAATTTATATGGCGGCCATCTTGCTAGTGAGAGTGTTTGTGCTCTATTTATGAATTCCTACTTGTAAAAACTGTTACTGACATTTCCTTCCCCCCCCCCAATTGGATTATTACATGGGAATCTAGTAATATTCAAAGGAAGGAGATTGAAGATCTGTACAAATATGTCCATTCTACCAGAAAACAGGCTCCATACCTGCAGTGTTAAGCGAACAATGTTAGCTGTATATGTCAACATACGATGCATTATATTGAGCAAGGAAACAATAAAAGTATTGGTTGTCTTCATGTTGTTTTTATCATCAACATCCAAGCACGTAGCTGCCGTTTCCATTAGGAGATTACATATATGATGAACTAGTCCTAAACAGATAGGCACAGAACAAAATATGCACAGGTGTAAGAAAATTCATATATTCCAAACTCTGCCATTAGAAAATAATTAAATATAGGTATGTATATATACACACACACACGTAATGGAAAATATGTGTGACCCTGGGGGATGAAGGGATGAGATGCTGCCTAGGAAATAAATCAGACGAGAAAGAGAAGAGCCCCAGTAGCTTAATAGTCAGAGAAAGATCCTCTAATTGATTGAGCAATTAAAAATGGTGGTGGCTCATCTGGTATCTGGTTTATGTGGGAGGGCTGACATAAACACATGTCCATATATAAACATAAAGACACATATATAAACATTTATACACACAAATACATGATTTAGAGCTTTTCCATTCATATTTTAAATGAAAAATAAAAACTTAAATTATTATAAAAACTTGTTACATTCACATTAAGGAAATACTTTCATTGTACCATTCAAAGTCATACAAATTGGAACAAATTACAAATTGACACATCCAATGAAGAACTCACCTCATCTATGGATAACAGCTCCATTACTAAATTGATCCTACCATTAGGAAGTTACCATCTTTCTACATCCTGTTCTCTAGAACAATGTTGAACAAATTTGGACTTCAGTATTTCTTTTTGACATTATTTCCAATATTTGAAAAGCTGGGATGGCAGCTTTACTAAACATTCCTAGTTCTTTCAAATTCATTCTTAGACATAGTTTCTGTTTCACTGATATGACTGTGAAATATAAAAATGTATTTGCTGTTCTTCTTTGAATCTATTTTGGATGTCTGAATCCTTCTTAGTGTAAAATCCAGAACTGGATATAATATTCAATTTGCAGAATATTTTACGTCCTGTGATTTGGGAACTATGTAGATGCAGTCTATAATGGCATTTTCCATTTTTGCAGCCACATTCAGTTTCAAATGAACTATTAAAATATTTTTTCACAAAGATTTTTATCAAGCCAAGTATCCTGTTAATGTATCTACGTACTTCTTTTTTGTTGCCCAAATGAAGAACTTTGCATTTCCTTCTATTACATTTCATTGTTACTTTTAGCTCATTTTTCTAACTTTTCATGATTGTGTTGAATTTTATTTTTTTCTAGCTATCCTAACAAATTTTTTATTTGTAAATCTGATAAGCATTCCCTCTACCGTTTCATCTATATCTTTATAAACAGTTAAATATTAATAAAATTAAAATGTGCATCTCCCTACATCCTTTTAATAATATCTTTTAAGACTCCTAGGGCTTTATATATGTGTAAAATATTTAAGAATTAATAAATTTTTTAAAATAAATATTTTCCTAAGCCAAAACACATTTGCTTTGCTTTTTTGTTATATTAAAGTTCTGATAGAACAAACTGATGAAGGACTCAGGACCTTCAATGGAACATATAAAGATATTTAATATGCAAATTTAATTTTTAATTGTTATACTTTCCTTGATTAAAGGTTAACTTCCAAACCATCAAGGATTAAACAGAGGTATTTTCACTGTCATTGTTTTGTACTGCCTATCTTGTTCAGAGACAATTCTGGGTGGCTCACAAACATTAAAACTACTACATATTAAAATAATAATGCAAAAAATAACAACAGTAATAAATATTGTTAAAGAAAGGGAAGGAAATGAACATGAAGTACGCAGAGAGAAATGGGATCTTTTCTAATACTATAATAGCCACTTCCAAAAGAGTGTACCCCATTGGGGCCCCAGGTCAGCTGGCAGAGCCAGCTGGAGATTTTTTATGAAAGGTCAAAAGGGTGGGTAAAGATCTCATGCGGGGGGGGGGGAAGGGAAATGTTCCAAAGGAAAGGAGGCATGGCAGAAAAGGCTCTTCTCCTGGACCCCAACAACTGAAATTCCTTGACCAACTGGGTCCACAGCATGCCCCCTCTATCAACATTATCCTCAACATGAGGAGACAGGCAAATCCCATTGGATGAAATGATTCTTCAGATAACCTGTATCCGTGCCATGAAGGGCTTTAAAGATGATAACCAATACCTTGAATTGCATTTGGAAGCAAACAAGCAGCCAATGAAGAAGAACAGAGAACATAGGCCACTCTAGGGGAGCCAGGAAATACCCATGTCAATGCATTCTGTAGCTTTCGAATACACTTCAAAAGTAGCCCCATGTACAGCACATTGCAATAGTCCAGGCATGAGATGATTAGGGCTTGAGTAATTAAGCAGGGACTCCCAATCCAAGAAAGGTCGCAACTGGTCTCTCCTAGAGTCTCTTAGTACCTTATAAATTGACTTAAGTATCATAATCAAAATCATAATAAATATACCAGGCTACAACTAAATAAAAATATAGCCGTACTGTAAAATATTTAAAATGCAATATTTCTGGAAGAAGACAACTGTTTGGGGACGAAAGGGAAACCAATTAACAGAGGATATCTATGGAATTCTATTAGGATGAGCAAAGTCATGTTGGAAAATAGTTGAAAAAGCAGAGATAAGGAAGCTCAGAACAAATAGTTGTTAAAATGTTATGTTAAAGGTGAAGGAAGAATAAAAAGCTTAATATAGTATTTCAACTAGGGAACATGTGAGATTTTCATTGAGAGATCAGCTACTATGGAATAGCAATTGAATAAACTGACAGTAAAAATATAACATATTGTATTGGAAAGACCACTTGTTCCTTCATATTCTTATCTGATCTCAGACATGATTATTGGAAAACTTCATTTGAGCACAGATAGTCCTCCACTTACAACAGTTCGTTTAGTGACGTTCAAAGTAAAAGTTCAAAAAAAGTAGAGAAGGGAACTAGGGGATCAGCCATATTGGACTTAATTCTTACTAACAGAGATGAAATGATAGAAGATGTTGAAGAAGCTACAGGAACCTTGGTGGGGAGTGATCATGCAATATTGGAATTCAACATTATGCAAGCACAAGCAATAGAACATAGTCAAAATAGAATCTTGGACTTTAAGAGAACTATGTTTAATAAACTTAGAGACAGCTTGGGAAGGATTCCATGGATGAGAATCCTCAAGGGGTGAAATTATAAACACCTAGTCTAGCACAATACCAATGAAGAAGAAAAATAACAGCTCTCAAAAGAAACCAGCACTTTCTTCAAAAAAGAAAAAAAAATAGATCTAGGAAACTACAAACCTATCAGCCTGGTCTCAATACCTGGGAAGATTCTGGAAAAGATAATCAAGCAACAAATCAGAGAACATCTGGAGACAAAGTCATAACCAAAAGCCAATATGGGTTTGTCAAAAACAGATCATGCGAACTGGTTTGGCATTGTGATGAGACAGACGCAGGAAGGCAGAGCCTTCTGCGCCCGATTTCGCTCTGCTGGGGGCCCTAAAAGGGCCTAAAGTCGCCCCGAAGAGGCGATGAAGGAGGGATGCCTCACTGATCACGGAGAGACGGCGATTGATCCGTTTGATCCGAGGAAAGCCCTCCAAACCGGCAGGGGAAAGACTGGCCGTTAGCCACTGACAACCGAAGAAGAAGAGCACTAACTAGCAGATCGTAAACAGCATGTTTGGAACTGGGTGAGAATATTGATCCTTTCTTTACTACTTTACAACTGAATTTCCCAAGAAGCAAAAAATCTTTGAATGTGAGAAGGAAGGGGATTGTAGCCCACCCTTCCAGAGGAATAGAAGTGGCATTTTAATTTCTTTTATGGGGGACAGAAATGCATAATACTGAAGTGGAAGTAACATAAAGCTACAGTTTTGATAAATTTGAGAACTGAGATAATTTCTCTTTGGGAAAAAAACATTGAGGTGAAATATAAAAAATCAACCCTTTGTCTTAAGAGTGGGAAATGGATTCTTTTTTTTTTTTTTTTAAAGAAAATTTTATTAATTTTTATAATTGAACATTAAGTAGTATGATGCATTTATAACACAAACATACACAAAAAAACCACAATCCAATTCAATACATTATCAGAAACGCTCAGAGGTTCCCGACCTGCCTCCGCCCTCATCCACTTACCTTTCCTTCCTACCTCTAACCCACAACCTCTCCTCCTTCCTCCTTCCCCTTCTACATCCCCCCTCTTCCTGACCACCTCAACGAGTGCAAGCCGGGATACCAACCGAGTGCTTCCTCTTATCAAAACAATTATAACATATGAATACATCACTTTTTTTTTCAATACTTCTAACCCCCCCCCCCCCCCCCCGAGCTTCCCGGAATCAAATACAGGACTTAAAACAAATCTTTCCAAATCTAACTTACAATTTAACTAAACAGATATAATACTAACAATATATACCTACTTTAACTCTAATAAGGCAATTATTAATTAAAATTGATTAAAAACCAATATGACTACTCAAAAGCTATATATATTTTATATACATCTAATATAATCTATCCAT